TTTTTTTTTTAAGTGTTTGTTCTGTTAGCCTTTCTACAGTGTGACTGATTGCTTTTCTTTTTCACTACCCCAAACAGAGGATTTGTGGCTCAAATGCCTTTCTTCTCTTGGAGAATTCTTTCTGTCTACGTTGAAGAGAAAAATTACTGTGCGTAAGGATATCCTGAAGATAAACACCTAACAGTAAGTTGTTGTCTTTTTTTATTTTTCTTATGTTATTTTGGATTGAATGTGATGATGTGTAATCATTTCAAATGTGTTTGTCATTTGAGTAGAAGGTGTAGAACATATAAGCAAGCATGAAAGCTTCTGTATTCAGGTGTATTTTAGTGAAATTGTATACATAAAGGGGGGAAGAAAAAGCTTCTTACTTTCCCTCTTGTGTCACGCAGTGAAAATCTGTATTATTCTTTCACATGCTTTCTGTTCTAATCGCATAACATTCTTAGAATAATTGGAAGCCAATAGCAGTTAGATATTATATGAAAAATACATGTGTTTAGTAAGTGGTAGCTTGTCTTGTACGTGAGGTAGAAGCTTTAAGCTGTGGTACTTGGGAAGACTGAGCCTGAGCAATAGAAACTAATGTTTTGGAGAAGTGGCTACTTATAAATGAGGAGGTAGTGTAAATGGAGCTGTCTCATTTGTGTGGAAAGGGACCCAAGACATGTTTTTTTGTGTGTAGTTACTTAGCACTCAGTCTGCAACTCTTTTGTTGTGTTTCACAAGCTTGTAAGGTAAATAGAGCATTTCAACAGCAGGTTTACAAGCCCTAAGGGAGACAAGTGGTTTAAAATAAGTAGTATGTTGAGGTATCTTTAACGAGTTGTGAACTGTGGAGGTGGATGGTAAAGAGTTAGCTTTGGTGAAGTAAAAGGGAGCATTGGCCTAGGCATGTAGCTTCTTTGCTTGAGGAAACACTGGGGCTACTTTCTTCCTCCTTGATTCTTGTTGTCTTGTACAGGGCTGGGGGGATGAACAAGGGTTATCTTGAAGGTAGTTCCCTTTCTGTAGACAGTCCCCCACTTCTCCCTCTGAAACAATTCACTTCTACATCATCTTAAAGAAATCTTATTTCTTCATAATTAGAAGAAGAAAGCAAAATGAACAATATGTCATGCGTTAGAATATATCCTTCAAGTACTTGTAAAAATCACACCATAAGCTCTTGAAGACCACTCTTCTGATTTATCTGGGGATGATTACACCTACTGTACTGTAGCCTCCTCGTGTATGTCTGCTAGATATAACTATCCCTCCTAATAAAAAGTCTGAAGTAACGTTCTGCTGGAAGCTTGATAGGTATCAGCAGAGCTGGCTCATTAGGATTTGCTCGTATGGAATTGAGATAAGGAAAAAGTAGGGAGGCAATCAGGTATTAGTCTTTTCTGATTAGAAAGATGGGATCTGCGTCATGTGGCAAGTAAGTGATCCTGCAGAAAGCAGGCTGCTTTACCTGCGACATAGCATCTCCTTTTCAATTAGTGTCATCTCCAAATTGGTTCTTTGTCATTGTGTTTTATGCTGTCCATCAATTCTGTTGAACCACATATTTCCAAAGGACCCCCTCTATTTGAAAGTGACTATGTTGAAATAGAAACAAGACCATTAAAATGCTGTATTTTAAAGGGCTTAATTATTTTACAGTTCAAGCAAGGAGAAGTTTAGGGGGAACAAGGTATTAATTAATTTAATATGGGTTACTCTGTGACATTGTTAGCAATGTATTTCATTTTAGTGCAATTATAACCTTTTGTTAAACTATTTACTTAACATAATTATTGGAGGAAACTTACTGAATAAAAAGAACACACGGAAATCTATAGCTGGTGGGACTGAGGGGAGGGGAGGGGAGGTGGGAAGAAATTTGCAGCATTTTCAAAGTTCCAGGAGAGTTCTCTGGAGAACTGCCTTCAAACTCCTACTCTAATTAATGTAGAGGGCGCTCCGATGTCCTTTAGTAGATATTCTGAGGAGTGCTCCAGATTCTGCATGTCTGAGGCAAGGGCTTTGGATTAGTAGGTACTCTTCTTGGGAAGTCTTCTGGCTCTGATAGAAGTACAACACAGTGCACAAGCAAGCCCGAAACTCTGTGTCTTAACAACACAGCCTTGTTTAGCATTCGCTTTTCTACTTCTTTTGTATTTCTGTCCATAGCAATGTGGTAAACAAGATGAAGCCTAATAATTTTGCAGACCATTCTTTGCATTTAATGTATTCTGCTGTTGTTGCAGCTTAGTGGGAATTGTATTATGAAGCACCCCTCAGAGCTGTTGACACCCTATAGAGAGCAAAGGGCTCTGAGTGATTGATGGCCTGGAGTACAGGGTCACTGGTCTCTCCCTAACTGCAGACACTGAGGACAGTTATCCTTGTCCCACATAAATCAGCTCAGGCTTTTTCTCTCCAGGAAGCTTTATTTGTAGTATCTAATCCCTGGTTGACACAAGATGCTTTTTGAGCAGTCGATAGATAAAGCTAGAGAATAGAGAATAAATGTAGAATGCAGCAAATGACAAGTCCTCTGAAATACCAGGAACAACAGTATGTGACACGTTTGTCCAGGCACATTCTTAGAGAAACTCAATCCCAAGGCTGGAATTTAGAGCTGAATGTGTGATTACATGGGCTACACTAATGCTTTTTGCAGCCCCTGTCCCAGGAGGTTTGCTCAGAGCAGAGGTATGGAATGTGTGATGCAAGAATCACTGCCGAGTATCCTGCATCATACAGAAGAGGGTGTTGTCTGGAGAAAATCCGTAAGGGAAGAGCTGCTAGGTGATGTAAAGTACACTGCTTCCCTTAGTTGTGTCTGGGAAGTACAGCAGGCTATACAGTCCTGAAGGAACTGGTCAGTGTCTGGAGCAGCCAGTCCTGCTGCAGTTATCCTGGGCAGGTGGTGAAATGAGAAGTGATACCTGTTTGTTAACAGGCTTCTGATTTTAAGGGGTGAAGTTGAACGTAATAGAACTGGGGGAGTTTTACCAGCGCTTAGTGCCTCAAAGTTGGATATTTGAAGCTTGACAGGTAAACACTCCAAATGTGAGAGCATCTCAACTAGTCTCTGTATTGTGTATTCCTTGTAACGATAAAGTTCATGTAGTTGCAAATCTTTTCCCCAGGCTGATTTCTCTATATTCTTAGATTCTAGGTTGTGTTTGGAGAAGGGAATAATATGCAAGTGTTGGTGTGCATTCTGCAGCTGCTGCTGTGCCTCTTTCCAATGAGTAGCATATTGCTGTGCTCCCATCTCCTGACACTTAGTTGCCTGAATGCCAGCTGTGGGCCAGACTTGAAAATTCTGAAGTTTCTTAAGTATCTGGTAGAAACCAATTTTTCTGTAACTCACCTGATTTTTGATAACATTTCTGGAATCTGATTAATTTTTTTCCACCTTAAGAGGAGTTTTGGAACAAGGTGAAATACTAACAACTTAGGTGACATGAATATGTGTGGTTCTTCATACAGTTTCTAGCTGATGATTCTGCGGTCTGTTGTATAGAGGAAGGTCTTTCTCCACCTGCTCCTGGGCAGACTGTGTAGGACCAGCTGAAGTGTGCAGCTGAACTGGTGAGCAGTATCCTTGGAGGCTAGCTGTTGCGGGATGCCTAAACAGGCACCGCAAAACTGTGCTTTACAGTGTTTTATAGTGGAGAGCCCTGCTCATCTGGCCTCTTCAGATGGTCCATTCACATCCTAGGTGCCATTGAACTTTTTATTTACTGTCTATATGTTTTAGATTAACTTTAAAACTAAGTTTTTCATTTGCCTCATATAATGATGTTCTGATTCAGGTTTTATGGTTAAGATGTTAAATAAGGTGGAAGAAAGACAGTGAATGAGCTAAGGGGGTAAAAAAGAACAGCACATTGCCTTGTGTGTGGAATAATAGAAGCAGGGTTTGTCTGGAAACAATAGTGGTGTGAAAATGTTATGTTTTACCATGTTCCATCCAGTGCCAGTATTGCCCTTGTACAGTGGATTTGTACTTGTGTAAATCCCCCACTCTTATCACTCTGTGTATGTTCACCAACCATACAATTATATAACTAGGTCATAACATTTTCCATGGGAATGATAAACAGTTTGCAAATAAGATATGGGTTTTATTTTTTTGATTAGTTGTTTTTAATTCTGGTTTCAACAGTTTTTTAATGGCAAGTAACTTCACTGGTTGTTTGGAGTTACAATGTTCTGTGAACATCTTAGTAAAAACTCACTGTTATGCTCACTAAACTTTAATGAAAAGAAGAGTTTTTAGGATGTGAATAACTCCAAAGTAATAAGCAGCCACAAAAAAATTGAACAGTGATAACAAGTTTCAGGAAAAACATAGGTGGTCCTCCATCCTTGTTTCATTGCACTGTTTGTTTGATTTTTATCTCATTTCTCAATGAGCTTGTTTGAGTTTTTAAATCATGTTGGTACAGGATTGTTATTAAATTACTAATGAATTCTATCTTATTCAAACAAGTCAAGATGAATACTTCTCTCCTGGTGCTCTCAACTGGCCTTCCAGCAAGGGCTGAGTGTATTTTTTTTTTTATTATTGTAATAAATATCTACTCATAATTTCAAATTAAATGTAAGAATGATATTTAGTTTGCGCAACATCTAGTAATAACTTTTATTCTAGTCTTATTTCCAAAACACTTTGGTTTTATTTTAAGCAAGATCCAAGTTCAGCTCTTGTTTGCCAGTTATTATGGAGGGGAGATCCTTCCATAAGCTTTCAATTAAACAGTTCCTATTGTTCCTTAGTGCCTGCATTGTCCCCCTTTGTTCTTCTCAAATTTGTCTACCCACTGAATTTTTCTTTTCTGTTTTTGTCAGTGCTAGGCTTATTTGTTCAGTATTTACTCTAAGTTTAATCTTCCTCACTGCAGGGCTGACCAAAAAGGTCAGAAGCCCTGTGTATGTGTCTGTGGAAGGGGAAGAGAGGGACTTCCTCCTGGACAAACCTGGAAGTCCTTCTGGTTCTTCCCTATTCCCAGCCTGAATTTCCTGTAAGCTAAGCTCTTGGCGGAAGAGAATACTTGATCATGTAGTATTTCTTATTGCTTCCTTGCTAGGAAATTAATGTCATCTTTCTTCTGTGATTTGAGCTAGTATTTGCAGATTTTTATTTATTTATTTATTTTAATACGTACTATTTTAGGGTTCTGAATAAACTTGCTTTTGATTTTCTTCCTTGTTCACTTTGTAGGGTCTGATCTTACCTCTGTTTTTAAATTTGGCTTCTCACTTTTCACATTCATTGATTCCACCATGACCAGAATAATTTTCCCAATACATCTATAATCTTTCAGTAGGATTCCTTTAAAAGAAAAACAAAAAACCAACAACTTTATTTTTGGAAAATTGAGACAAATTAGAGAGGGCATGTAGGAAATTTTCCTACTTCAGAAAAAGAAGATTAACTTACCACTTGAACGTTTTCCTAACTCTCTTGGCTCATCATGTCTCCAAAACAGCTTGGTATAGAACTTCCAGATGAGTTCATTGACTTAATCTGTTACTTTTGGCAACTGTAAGTAGTGTTGAGTAGATTCTCTTCTTGCTGATAAGCAGTTGTTGTTGAAATTACTTTGTTGTTAGAACAGTTTCTACATACATAAAAGGCTCATAAACAAAACCATGGATAGCAACAGTAACCTGACTCGAAGTTTTGCGGTACTGTGTAGAAATTCTGTAAATACTGCAGAAATGTCAAATAATGTTGTGATTTTGTTTCACTGTGTTCTTTCTTCATTATTATTTTTCATCTGGCGTGTCAACCTCCTAGTGCTTAATTTGTATTTAAAAATTGTTTAAATATCACCCCTACTCTAAGTTTTCTGCTATGCTGTAAGCTTTTGCACACAAAACAAGCAGGCAGGGAAACTGAGCACTTGGCCAAAGCTGGGTTTGGTGGCAGCAAGAGAGCTGAGGAATGCCAGGGCTGCAGGCTGTAAAACCCAGCGGGCATTGTGGACAGAGAGCAAGGAGCAGAATTACCTGAGGGTCAGCAAGAAATGGAATGGTTCTTAGCAGTGAAATGTTATCTTTGACTACTTTCTTTCATTTGAGGTTTTGAAGTCTAACATTTGAACTTCAGAGTAGGCCTTCCCAATATTTGAGTAATTTGAGTTGGGGGGAGGAAGGAATGTTTTCAAATGTTCTTTCCTGTTGTCGCTTATGGCTTCATTATGTTGATTTTTTTCATGCATCAAAAAGTGCAAAAATTCTTGCTTCTCTGGCCCTTACCTCTTCTCAGATTTAGGTGCTCTTAAAACAATTATGCATTAATATTAGTGAAAATGTAATTGAAACAAATAATTTTAGTGTAGAGAGTGTGGAATAAATTAGTCTCTCTGTCTTATAGCGTGTGGGATCTCTCTTTCAATGGTAGTACAAAGAATAGTTGCAGAAAATTGAGGCATTATATGCTTGTCTGCAAGACGTATGTGAAGGCAGAGGGTTTAAGACTGTTGTGTCTAATAGTTCCTATTTATATCCAAGAGTGTTAAAATTTTACTAATGACTTAAATGAAAATATTCCCCTTCATAAAGTCTGACTCTGGGGAGTGAGGGGAGGATTTTCTTCCCTGGTTTCCCAGAGAGAGACACTTGTCACTAGATCGAGAGGGAAGTGTGTTTTTTTTTTTTTTTTTCCCCAGCAGAACAGTATCTTTCCCCAGGCTCCTGCTTTCCTGTCAAGCTGATTTAAATGGATTTTAATCCTCTGACACTTAATGATGTCCTGTAGTATTTTAATGAGTGCCTGGAGGACATTTGTAAGTGAAAAAGAGAGTGTGTGTAAGAGAGAGGAAAAAATTGTCTGTTGGGGGAAAGGCAGAGGAAAGAAATGAGTGCTGAAAAGAGACCTTAATAGGGCCACTTGTCCAGAGAAAATGAGCAGTTAGCAATGGGTGATACCATCAGCAGTAATAGTGAAATAATTTTAATACACCTCCCTAGTTTCCTGGAAGTAGCATGATAAATGCTGAAATGTTAAATGCTTCTTAATCCTAACCACAGCATCTGGAGGTTACGCTTTCTAGAAAAAGACACCAAAGTTTTGCTTGCATTTGAATTACGTTTACTTGCTGTCTGTTAGAGAGTTTGATTTTAGAAGACTCTTCTGCACTATGCAACTGTGAGATGTGAGAGAGGTAACTGGGATCTCATAACCATCTCCCACTGCTTTGTTTTGGGTGCAGAGATGTCTGTCGTACTGTTCTCGGAATCTGCGAGTGTGCAACTCTGAACTCTGCCTGCAGTTGGCATTGTGCTTTTACTTGGAGAAAATGTTTGTGTGCCTACACATACATACTAGGAGTTTTCAGTAGGGTCTTAAAGGGATTGCTGGGCTGTTACCATTACGGTTAAGATTAAAAAAAAACCAAATCAAGGTAAAAATGAGATGAAGTACTTTAATACATTAGTTGTAATGAAAAGTTTTTTGATTATGGCTTATGAAATATTGCATGTTTGGACTAATCTGTTGTGAATCATCAATAGAGAGATGGAAATCTGCAGTGGAACCAAGTTCTCTACTGCAAACATATGTATTTTTTTCCAGCCAAGCAGCTAAAGTTGCCCCTCCAGGTGGTGGGCTGGGTGGATTGCTTAGTCTTGCAGATATGATTAGTGCTGTTACCTCCGCGTTGGTGCCTTCAATTGCAGTAGAATTAAGATGATGATGAGCACTTTAGAAAAGTTATGTATTTGTTTTTATGTCAAGTCTGTGAGTTTTAGTATGTAAAATCAAAGTGATTTTCAAATGTCTGACTTCAGCCTTACCAACTGTTAGAACACGATGCTTGGTCGCAGTAATCTCAAAACAGTTTGAGTGCATAATGGTGAAAAAGATTTAAAGAATCTCATAGAGGTTGTTTAAAATTTTAACAAAACTTGTTTAACAAAATACTGATAGTTTGAGACGTGTGTGTGTGTGGTTTTTGTTTTTTTTTAATTGTATGCAATTAAATATTTAAATGGAACATCAGAGACTTCAGCAGTTGCTGGAAGTCATGCATCTGTGT